AACTACCTTCGGTACATCAAAACACATAAACTCATAATACCGATCGTCATCGAACTTTAAGCGTGCGGACCCTACGGGTTCGAGAACTATGTAGACATGACCGAGACACGTCTCCGGTCAATAACCAATAGCGGAACCTGGATGCTCATATTGGCTACCACATATTCTACGAAGATCTTTATCGGTCAAACCGCATAACAACATACGTTGTTCCCTTTGTCATCGGTATGTTACTTGCTCGAGATTCGATCGTCGGTATCTCAATACCTAGTTCAATCTCGTTACTGGCAAGTCTCTTTACTCGTTTCGTAATACATCATCCCGCAACTAACTCATTAGTCACATTGCTTGCAAGGCTTATAGTGATGTGCATTACCGAGAGGGCCCAGAGTTACCTCTCCGACAATCGGAGTGACATACCTCTCCGACAATCCGAGTGACAAATCCTAATCTCGAAATACGCCAACTCAACAAGTACCTTCGGAGACACCTGCAGAGCACCTTTATAATCACCCAGTTACGTTGTGACGTTTGGTAGCACACAAAGTGTTCCTCCAGTAAACAGGAGTTGCATAATCTCATAGTCATAAGAACATGTATAAGTCATGAAGAAAGTAATAGCAACATACTAAACGATCAAGTGCTAAGCTAACGGAATGGGTCAAGTCAATCACATCATTCTCCTAATGATGTGATCCCGTTAATCAAATGACAACTCATGTCCATGGTTAGGAAACTCAACCATCTTTGATTAACGAGCTAGTCAAGTAGAGGCATACTAGTGACACTATATTTTCACACATGTATTATGTTTCCGGTTAATACAATTCTAGCATAAATAATAAGCATTTATCATGATATGAGGAAATAAATAATAACTTTATTATTGCCTCTAGGGCATATTTCCTTCACATTTCTCCACTCGTTGACCTTTCCAAGAACCTCCATGTTATTATTTGCCTCCGAAAGAAAAATATGCTCTAATGAAAAATATGCTTAATGTTCTAGAAAAATACAGGCGCTTCCCTATTTCGACACACGGTTTAAGAGATAAAATGTTTTGAATAAACAGATCTACAAAAAAGGAAAATTTCCAGGTTGCGACAAGTGGCGTGCAATCAGCGCGCCACTTGTCACAACATGGGAAAGGTGGGAGTGATATTTGAAATGAGCACTCCTTAATTAGTGATTTCGACTTAACAATTGTGCATGCTTCAACTTATTTTGGTGGGCTGGGCCTAATAAATCTCCGATGAGGCGAACTGTCGTCTACAAGCGATCTCGAGCAAAATTACTAGTTAAGGAGTACTCCTTTCAAAAATCACTCCCACCTCCTCAGGTTGCGACAAGTGACGCACTGCATGCACGGCACTTGCTTCAACCTGGGAGTTTTTTTTCGTATATCCGTATATTCAAAACCTTTTATCTCTTAAACCATGCATCCAAATCTCGAACCGTTTCACCGTTGGATTTCTCGCGTCGAGATCTTCAAAAACTAGATTCCATGTTGATAGGTTTTGACGAAAAAAATTCAAAAAAATCGGACAGAAAAATGGACGGAAAAACCGAACCGGTAGCAATTTTTTTCCTTTCCGAAAGAGGCACGGTTGTGCCTCTCGCGAAAGCATAACCATGTCTCTTGTGAAAGGAAAAAAACGGAAAACACATTTTTTTTCCCATTTCCGAGAGACACGGCCGTGCCTACCTCTCGCGGAAAAAAAAATAGGAAACACGTTGTTTTTGTTTTTGAGAGGCATGGCGTGCCTCTCGCAGAAGCATAACCATGCCTCTCGTGAAAGCGGAAGAAAGAAAACAGAAAACACGTTTTTTTCCGTTTTCGAGAGGCATGGGCGTGCCTCTCGCGAACGAAAAACGGTGACTCGCGGAAGAAAAGAAATGTGTTTTTTCGTGCAAGAAAAGGAATTTGAAAAAAAAAAATCTTGTGCAAAAGCGAAGAAAGACCAGTGAAAAAAAAAGTCAAAAAACTCGTTTAAAAAATAAAAAACGCGTGCAGAAAAATAAAAAAACAAACACGCTCTCAGCCTATCCCAGATAATTGTTGGAAGTCTTTAAAGGAGCGCCAATTAGTTGCTCCCGCTCCGGAGAGTCGCTCACGCCAGCCCACGCGCGCCACTAAGAGCTCGGCAGGCTCAGCAGTGTAAGTAAAGGCCGTCCGTCGCGGAGGCCAGCCCACCAGATGCCGGCCCATATAGAATAGGTTACGCAAATCGACTGACGAACGCGCGCGCTAGAAGAAGGCGGGAACGCGAGAATACGCGTCCGCCCGCGCCCACCCACGCGCGCCCCACGTGTTCGACGAAACACCCGACCCGACCCCGATTTGGAAGTGACCTCTTCTTTCCGTATAAAGTTGAGCTACCTCAGCCGCCAATCCAGTCCGCCCATCAGATCCCCTTGCTCTGCCTCAGCACCCTCGTCCGCCCATCAGATCCCCTTGCTCTGCCTCATCCGCCGCCGGAGCCGCCGCGATGTCGACGCCGACTTCCACGCTCCTCTCCGACGAGGGCATGGCGAGGGTGCGCCGCAAGAAGGACTTCCGCCACATGGAGCGGGTGGACGGCCGCATGCTCAACATCCTCCAGGGCCTCGAGCTCCACGCCAACGTCTTCTCCCCCGACGAGCAGCAAAAGATCGTCGCCTGCGTCCTCGACCTCCAGGACCAGGGCCGCCGCGGCCGCCTCCGAGGTACCTACCAACACTTCTCCGATGAATCAACCAATCAATTCCTTCTTCCTCCCCCGATCTTGATCTGACGACCTCGATTCTTCTTCCAGAGCGGACCTACTCGGAGCCGCGCAAGTGGATGCGGGGCAAGGGCCGGGCGACGATCCAGTTCGGCTGCTGCTACAACTACGCCGCCGACCGGGACGGCAACCCGCCGGGGATCGTGCGGGACGAGGCCGTCGACCCGCTGCCGCCGCTGCTCGCCGCCATGGCGCGCCGCCTCGTGCTCTGGCGCGTGCTCCCGCCGGCCTGCGTGCCCGACAGCTGCATCGTCAACGTCTACGACGTCGACGACTGCATCCCGCCGCACGTCGACCACCACGACTTCCTCCGCCCCTTCTGCACCGCCTCCTTCCTCGCCGAGGCGCCCATCCTCTTCGGGAAGGAGATGAGGGTCGTCGCCCCCGGCGAGTTCTCCGCCGCGGCCTCCATCCCGCTGCCCGTCGGGTCGGTCCTCGTGCTGAACGGCAACGGCGCCGACGTCGCCAAGCACTGCGTGCCCGCTGTGCCGGCCAAGAGGATCTCCACGTTCAGGAAGATGGACGCCTCCAAGGTCCCGTACGGGTTCCGGCCCGACCCGCTGCTGCAGAGCCTCGCGGCTGCGGCCGTCCGGCCGCCGATGACGGCGGCGAGCGCGCCCCCGAACAGAGCGGCCTGGGAGCAGAGCAATGGCGAGGCGGCCAAGCATGCGACACCTCAGGCTCAGCAGCAGCAACCGGCGGCGCCTCTGTACCAGGCTGCTGCTGCCAGGGCGGGGCAGACACAGTCACAGAGCCCCGGCGGCGGAGTGCCTTTCAGCCTCTCCACCGACGAGTTCCCGGCGCTTGGTGCCTCGCCGGCCAGCGGACGACGGCCGGGAAGGAGATAAAGAATTCAATTTTTTGATTTGAAAGATGATGAGTTGAGAGATACTGTACTTCAGTTTGTTGGAGCTCATGTAGCATTAACGACATTTATTCATTCATCCGATGTAATTGACTACTGCCACTCATCATAGGTTCAAGAAAGAATGAAAACTTGATATTAGTACATTGATTATGATGGTGATCTACTCTGATTGCGTTGGTTTGATGATCGACTACAATCCGTGGCTCATCAAATTTCAAAGACGGCACTATCAAATGACCGACGATAGCCAAATATTAGTAGTGATTTACTACACATTTTCATTCTACCACTATGTTCGGTATATTTTTTTAGTTTTGTCTCCGCAAATAAAGTTTGAACATCAAGAATAGATGTGTTCCTTGATTCAGTTCATTAGGGCATCTTTAACACAGACCGTCAAACTACCCTTCGGACTTGGCGGTCCGGACAAACTTTACCGGACCCATCTGTCCAAACTAGGGGGTGGGGCTTTGTGGGCGTTCATACATATGCCACGAACGCAAACGGACACCCCGGATCCATCCAAAACTTCTCCCGCGCCCACGTCCTCTTCCACGCCAAACGGTTGCCGCGCATTTATGCCAGCCCGCGGCGGGATGGCTATCTACCGCATTCACATTGGCTGCCCAGAGGCATTAAAACAGTCATGTTGGAGAAACCCACTCTGACGCCTGCTTGCCCTAGTCGGTGCCCGCTATTTCATAATTGTCCATGCCCAGCACGATCTGCACTGCACCACCTTCGCTTCCGCTCCTCCTCACTGCACCACCTCCGCCATGACCGCAAAGCTCTAAAGTGACATGGGATAGCCTTAAGATGGACCAACACACACTACCTCTCGACTCATCTTAGAGTAAATCATCATTAGAGTGACCTTACTACCACTAATGATTTACTCTAATTGACATGGTATAATAATCAACTCCGAACAGTATATCTTGAAGTTTCTAAGATAATAAAAGGGCTGGGTTCAACTCTTTTTCTATCAAGATAACAAAGTAATGTGAGATCCTCTTACCACTCTGCTGAGTTTTATTTTTTTCAGTTTCGCCGGCAGATATAAAGTTTAACAGTAAGTAGAGACAAAAAGAAAATTAATATTTTCAATGTATATTTTCAATGTAGCAATTTTTTATATTGAAAAAAAAGTTAACCTGCAGGCTGCAGCCATCAAGAACAGAAGTGTTGCACGATTGAACCAACGTCTTTGCCAAGGTGAACAAATAAAGTATATAGTTGAAACCATCTCCATACCGCCTATTGATTAGGTTCATTCGGAAAACAAAACTTGAATACACCACGAAGTACCAAATTTCAAATTACAGGTTACAACATTGTGCACAACAAGAAGGCTAAACCAAGATTGATTATGGCGCGCTCGTGGTGTTGTAAGCCATGTCCGCGGACGACGTGTCCATGTCATTCAAGCCCAGCTCCTCGTTTTGCTCCCAGCTCCTCTCATACTCCTCAACTGCAATTCAATTCACGGACAAACAGGTACTGGAATATTAATAAACATTTTTCGGCAATTCAAAGCAAATGACTAAATCATTGTGTAGGCAATACAGAACAAAAAGCTTGCAACGAGCAGTATCATTTCTTGTTAGCTGCTTGTCATCTTACTTGTTAGCTGTCTGTCATCTTCTAGCGAATCTGTCGCTGGAGCAATAAACGAAGCCGCCAATGCATCATCAAGAATTAGAGTCCATGGCTCTTCTAGATTTAGAAGCTGAAATATACAGATACACATTAAAATATGTATGTAACAGATTGAAGGAAATCATTAACTGATTAACTCATCATATCCGTCCACACCTATGCTGAAATGGGACGCCCAAAACAGCAGGTTATTTTCCACATGTTAGTAATAACTACATTCAATTCTGGACAGTAATTTGAAAAAAAAAACGATTTGCTCCATGTTTTCCAAGAAAACAACGCTGCCAGACAGCCCAGACTTTAACAAATAACAAGTGTAACTTTAATCAAGAACTGATGTGTGCTTTATAATATTCTGAAGGTTAGGTGAAATAGAACCTTGCTACAGCGACAATGTTCGACATATAAAAAGGAAAATACCCACCTTTGCTAATCTCTCTGTGAAACCATCCCATTTCTTCTTCTTCCATTCATATGTGCTGTCACCCAACTGGAATCCATGAACTCGCTCCAGTGCTGTAACACCCCAAAAGAAGCATATATTTGAGTTTCAGGAGAAAATAAGTTTGTACATTCTAACAATTACGTCGTATTCTCATGTACTTCACATCGACATAAGTTGCACAAACTCTGTTGGAAGACAAAAGCTTCCACTAACTTTATTTTTTTTAACTTCCTCTAAATCTAACGTAGATGCATAACAACTGAAAGTGCAGAGAGTAACAAACATACATGTGCCACAATTTTCCGAATAAATACTTGCCTAGTCATACACTGTTAAGCTGTGGACCAAAGAGATGGGTGTACATCTAGCTATGAGAGGAACATCAACTATGCAACTTACCTTCGAGATACTTCCATCTCATAAAAGCTACAAAAATGTACTGGCTGACACACCTTTGACTAGAATTAGCATGGTTCTTGCAGTCAATTTTGGTCCCATAAACATAGGAGGCATGAGTATGTAAGTGTGGCAAACATACCCTCGCATATTTTCACAATTAAACCTTCAACTGTTGTCACAATGCCACCCAGTGTTCCGCTTGACAGCTCCAACTCAAGTTCAGGTACACTAACTGCTGCTGAATCTGACTGAAAAAATTAAGAGGTCTGAATCAACTAAGTTACATATGAGATACTGCAACAAGTCTGACCATTCTTTTTGGTTTTGCCAAATAATGGATGGTGGAGCCTATTCATCCATTTTGGCATGAAGAAACTGTAGTAAGATTCAACCTAACACACATCATGTTCCTTAATTACACAAGTATCACAAGTTAAACTGTATTCACTCGCTAAAAGCCCCAGGTTAGCTAGTCCAAAAAAGCTGAGTCATAACTAAATAACTACCAGCTCAATTGAAGAAGATACAAGGGGCAAGACACAAAGAAGTAACACTAATGTTCCCCATTCCATATGTACAATCATTAATCTAATGCACATATATGAAAATTAAGAGATTTGCATGAGAGAATGAGAGAATGGGAAAGAGTAAATTTCTAACCTTTATGACATCACGACTAAGATCTTTTACATTTCGCACAATCAGTGTTGTTTTCTTTCCTTTAGCTGGGATTTCACCACCAGGCTTCAACTGGTTAACGAGACAGTGGCATTTTTTAGTTCAGAAGTGTGACCAAGTACAACACTGGTAAATCCAGTTCTTTTTTATATGGAAAAAATAATCAAATATGACATTGGAACTGACCTCTGAGTTGCGATAGCCACACGCATCACATGATGTAGCCATAACAATCACCTCTCGAAAATATGGGATTTCTACCAAAGGTTAAGGATCAGACACTAGTAAATACTGATTACTTGCAGCATTGCATCTCCATATAGTAGGATTGATCACATAAACAAAGCTACCAGAACCAAAACACTAGTCTATTTCCGAGATTGAATTTAAGGTGCAAAGGATACTTGTAGAAAAGAATCGTGTGACACACTCAGTAGCACAGGCCGCACATGTTGATGGTAAAGTATCAACCTGCCCAAGTAAATTTTGTTAGGGATAAGAAATCTTAATTATTGATATAATTTTTAGGCGACTGAACAGACATACCTCTTCTGGTGCTGAATATCTACACAACGCTGCAGTAATTTCATCAGAGTTTCCCTGAGCTATAGCACGGCGACCTGCAACAGCTCCAACTGAACCATGTGGAATCCTTTGCGGCCCACCAGAGTTTCCTTCCACTGTTGAAGCATCCTGAGAAGAGTCTCCAGATTCTTTGGTTGGTTCAGCAAGAAAACCGAGTGCTGCTTGTTGTTCATATGTCCTCTCATAGAATCTCAAAGATAACAAAGGATCTGATGAAGGTGCATTCCTGTTGATATACGCAGATAGATCAATATATGTCCAATTGCAAGTACTTAATGCGTGTGTGGAGCTATCAGCTATGTGCACCATAAGCCGTCACTCAAACTACTACAGGTTGTGCAGTATGCTGAATGAAGATAAAAACTCTGTACTCTTGCAAAAGTCGATTTCCCTACCCTGAACTCTAAAAATCATTTGAATTGCAACCCTGAAATATCAAAGCAATTTACTCCACACGCCTCGGTTGACTACGCGGATTTTTTGGCTGACATGTGTGACACATGTTTTGTTTAGTTGATGTGGTGCCTACATGGGAAATGTAGAAAACAGTGCAATTTGTACATCCCATAATTTATTTACGGATTAGTTGAATTTCATAGTTAATATATAATAATACAAATTTACAGTTTTAAACACACATGCCTTGCCCATATTTCCTTGGATATCATTCACATTTTTCTGATATTAGTATTATCTTTACTTTTACCACCGTTTCTATTATTTGATGAGAAAGAAGAAACAAATGTAGTTTGAAGTACAGATATGCTTAGAAGTTAGAATTATTCTTTCATGGCAAAGCAATTTCAAGATTCCAAGTATTATCATCTCAAATAATATGAACTCTGAGGGCTACAAAACACTTACGGGTTCTCGATAAAGCTGTTACCAGAAGCATCATCAAGAATAAATGTAAAATCAGCTTCCCCTGATCCAAGAGATCTCAATTTTACTAAGAACTGTTCTATAGCTTCAGCCTTTTGAGGATCCACTTTCTGCAGGTACCAAAAGACAATTAGTGTGTATCACTAGGTGGCTCAATTGTAATTCAAAAACTCAGCAGACAAGCCACACGCTTCACCTTTCTTTCATCCTGAAGTGCTTGCAACTCACTAACAGCTCGCATAATGCTCCCTTCCACCTAATACGCGACAAAAAAACTAAGTAAACTAACAATAAAAGAAAATAATTTAGAAGGAACAATCTCCCCAGAATCATATACAGAAAAGGATGAAGCGTACTGTTGAAAGTGTTCCACGTTGAGCTTCTGGAGGGATCTCAAAGTCTAGTTCTGGAATCTGCATATAAGTCAAAAGTGTAAAAGTACATAAAACACAGTGAATATGTGTATAGCACAAATGAATTAACAAGTGCACGGATCAGCATTACCTTAATAGTTGCTGAATCAGATTTCACAACTTGCCGGTTCAGTATCTGTGCCAAAACAGCTTGTCAGTGACATGAATATGGATAGGAAGCCAAATGCACGTGGATTTAAATGTGAACTGAGGCTCACAACTGTTAGTGCGGTGAGGTATGGAAGAAGGTGGTTCAGTGATAGAGATCACAGCAATAATAACACATCACAAGTAAAAATAAGTACCAGCGCAAGATATACACAGATAATAGTGAATAATACAGTGAGCCTATATAATCCATTAACATAAATGTGTTGGCAATTAACTGATGAACTGGGGCACGTTGCAGCGAAGAACATATGAAATACAACAGCAAACAACTTTTCAGGTGCAAGTTGTAACATTAAAACAATGCAACATTTCAATCATTCGGAGGAGTCACCAGAAACTGATGTTACAACCTATCAAACAAGATCATGTTTTGTGGTTGGAATAGACAAGTATGTGAGATGTAAGTGTTGGAAATCTATCAAAATGAAGCGATGCTCTTAAACCAACTTCACAAATTTTCTGCAATGAGAAATTGAAAATGTGCCATGGGTAAAGTTGATCTGGTTGCTCTATGGACCTCGTGCCCATGATGCTCAGGCTTATCTTGATGGAGGAATGTCATTGGCGTTTAAGATATCAACCACAGTATTACTCACTAAATCCCAAGTGATAGAGCTTCTATCTTGCTTCGGAAAGATTTTTGGTCCAACCGAGAGATATTAGCTGACAAGTTTAACTGCCTATTTTTTCGCCCTCAATCAAGATGCCACAGTTCAAGGATCCACTTTCTGCAGCTACAACTTATATTTTTTGTTTGAAAGAGTGCCATCAGACCTAGCCCTGAGAAGTATTTGGAAATCTAATTGTTTAATAAAAGTGAAGGTGGTTACTCCACCTGAACACGAGGGGTATGATGCTCCATTGACAGTGGCAGCTTGATTCAGGGTCGCAAGTGTGATTTATATCCTAATAACGTCCTGGAAACTCGTGATCATTTTTCTGGCTGTGATTTTGCGTGGAGTTTCTAAGCATTCATTGGGACCTTCACAGGCCAATTGCCCCATGCCTCGGTTCTGCTTCGCACCACTCTGTTGGCCTTTGTTTCGTGGGCATAGTACCAACGTACCATGCGCCTCCTGGAATATTTGGAAGGAAAGGAGCGGATTCATCTTTCAAGGACAGCAGCCCTAATTTGCTTGCTGGAAAGTTCACTTTCAAAGTAACCTACAGCTTTGCCGTTTGAGTGAAGCTGTAGGTTACTTGTCTTGCATTTGTCTACATGCAGAGCAGTCTAGTTCAACCTCTACTTGACTGGTTGCTTAATCTGCCTGCTTAAGTTTCTTTTTCTTTGTTCTCTCTTTTATAAAGCTTGGATATGTACAGTTTGTAAGATATACTTCTTTATTATGAAATCTACACCCTACGCTGTCTCGGTCAACAAAAAGAGAAGACAAGAAAGAAGAGAGATACCTCAGGCTGCCCCTTGGGGACTTTCAAAGTGTAGCAGCATCCCTTGGGCTGGAGTTGTCCAGCAAACTGAATCTCATTGTTCCTAGCACACAGGTAGACCAGAATTAGACTTCACACTAAAAAAAAAATCCAACAATTCTACACTTGTGCCGCGACGCGGACGCTGCGTTACCTTTCGCTGCAGTGTGGGCACTCGAAAGCCATCAGAACAACCTGCAGATTTTCACAGAGGCAAATTTCAGCACATATCCCAAATCAAAACAGGCAGCTTTCTCCACAGATACAGAGAGAAGAGTAGTAGCTCTGGCTCACCTCCCGGAAGTGCGGGATCAGAGTCAGCAGTATCCTCGTCGTGCCCTGGCCACAGGAAAACAGTTCACAAACTTGAGTATGTGGAAATCTAGGAAGACTAGAGAAACTGAAGGGAAGGGAGGTCAAGGCGAGGCTCTTACGTTCTCGCCGCAGCGCATGCAGAGGGACTCGACGACGTGGAGCGGCGCGTCGCGCGCGCCGTCGTCGCCCGCCGACTCCGCCGCGGAGCGGATGTCCACCACCACGCCCCTGTCGTCGCCGGAGCTCGCCATGGCGTGGCGTTGCGCGGGGAGGCCGGTGCGGGCTGGGCTTCTCGCGAGAGGACGGGGCTTTCGGAAGCTCTCTGGTCCGGGGAGCAGGGAGGAGACCGCCGGCACGGGCGGCGGCGCGAACCCTGGGAGCAGGTTTTCGTCGCTGTGGAGGAGATGGATTTTGGGTAGTTGGGCTGGGCAAGAAGCCGACCCAAATCCAGAAGTAAGAAGTCTCTGGACACTAGGCAAAGATGGGCCTCAGTACATGGGCAACCCGTACATGGAACCCTTCAAAAAAATAAAAACACCTGTACATAGGCAGCATGGACGTGGGTTTGTCAGGGTAGTGCGCCGGGCCAGTATAGGCTTAATTTCCTTTTCCGTTTTCCTTTTTCCCAGTGCGAGACTTTTTTGCTTTTTCTTGCTTATTTTTATATATTTACAAAATGATCTAAAAATATTCACCGTATATTACAAAAAATCTTCAGGAAATGTAATTTTTTTTCTCTCGCCATTTCACAAAATGTCCATGCCATTCAGGAAAATGGTCATGCGTTTAAAAAATGTTAATAATGTGTAAAGAATATTCACAGCATTCAAATAAATGTTCACATGTTTAAAAAAATGTTCATGACATTTTGGAAAATTCTCATCATATATTTAAAATGTGTAATGTGTACAAAAAAATGTCCGTGTGTACATGAAAATGTACAACGTATGTTCAGCATTTATTTGGAAAAAGGTTCACCATGTATTTTAGAAAAAAACATTGAACATGTATCTGAAAAATGTTTCACATGTATTGAAAAAACCAATAGGTACTAAAAATGTCTAACATGTATTTGCAAAAAAATGTGCAAACATGTATTAAAATATTGTTCACCATGCATTTGAAAAATGTTCAATATGTATCAAAAAATGTTTAGGGTGTATAAGAAAAATATATAACATCTATTTAAAGAAGTCGGCATGTATTTGAAAAAATGAAAAGGAAAAGGAGAAACAAACAGAAAAAAAACTGAAAATAAAGTGCAAAAACAAAAGGATAAAAATATAAAGAAAAACACAAAAAAGACAAAATAGAAAGGGTGTGGAACCTTACCAAATCCGGTGGAATGTTCCACGAACCGATGTTGAAACTTCTGCAAAACGTTCATTTCGGCCGACCCATCCTACAGCTTGCCTACTCCATGCTGGGACTTCGTCTCATAGTAGGCAAGATATACGAAATCACTGGTTAAAGGATACCCCTTGCAAAGGTCATCCCCACTTTCTCAGTTGTTGACAAGTGACGCACTGCATATGCGCCACTTCTCGCACCCTGAATGTTTTCCATTTTTGTTGTAGGTTCACTTATTCGAAAAGTTTTATCACTTGAACAGTGTGTTCAGATCCCTACCCTTCTTAACCGTTGGATTTCTCATGTCGAGATCTTCGAAACTAGATCCCATGTTAATAGGTTTCAACAAACTTTTGTTTTCACAACCTCACTTTTTTCCATCTCCATCTTACCAAGTTATCAGTATGTTCAGTATGGCATTGTTATGATAGATAGATTGTTAGGTTTCTTTTTTTTTGGAAAAGGAGGATCACCCTCGGCCTCTGCATCTAAAAGATGCATGCGATCATATTAAAAATTTCAAACAAAAACATAGTCTTAGCTCCATTATAGCTCGCAAACGAAGCAAAAATAAAAAAGAAAACTCATTGCCACAACCGGCTGGATAATAGGACTAGATCACTAGACGCCTATCCTATTATGAGACCGCCTGTTAGGGCATTTCCCGCCTTTGTGTTTTGCTGATGATGACAACTCTCATTGTCGTCTAATCGTGTGCCAAGTCCTTCAGGTACTCTGTGTTGAGTACAAGATGATTAGGCATTCCCTCCAGACAGAAAAGATCGAAGACGGTGTTTCCTACGTGTTTATTTCTTTGGTCGCAGGAAACCCGTACTATTAGGATGGAATCCTCATCGGAAGGTATTGGGTGAACCAATGCACGTACACATCTCTCCTCACCCACTGTTCCCTTCTGTTCAAGAAGAGAGAGGTTCCCATTTCCTTCCAATCCAGGGTTTTTCTCTCCGAGCGGTTGTACCGCACGTATGGGCGGTTATACTGCATGCCCAGTTCCACCGATGCAACCACCGCCCCAGGGGTAATACCCTGTGGTTGCTGCTCCAGGTACATGCCCAGCGGTTGTATCGCTGCCCCCGGGCGGTGGTACCGCCTCAGCTCTTGGAAAACCTTGGGGTGCTTCACGGGCGGTTGTACCGGCCAGGTAGCGCTCAACCACCGGACTCGGTTCTGTGATGGGGCGGTCCTTGCACTACACCATAGCACTATATCCCCTACACCCAGGTTGCTTGGGAATACAAGTTATGCCAATAGATAGTCAGTCAAAAAGACTATTGCCGAACCCTCGGAGGAGGTTTTCGTGGCTGTGGAGGAGAAGGATTTTGGGTAGTTGGGCTGGGGAAGAAGCCGACCCAAATCCAGTAGAAGAAGTAGAGGTCTCTGGAAACAAGGACGAAGACTGGGGAAAGATGGGCTGGACTAACGTGGAAAGGACCAGAATATGGGCCGAAAGGGTTCATTCAACAATATCTAAGACGTCGAGGACCAGAATATGGACCCCTAAATGGAAACATCATGAGTTCCTCAAAAAAATTGGAAAGAGCATGAACAAGAAAAAAAGTTTATGTATGCAAAAAAAAGGTCATGAAATTGGAAGGTTTTCATCGATTTTTTAAAAAAAATCAGCAAATTTGAGAAAAACTCATTGATTTTGCAAGAAAGTTCATTGACTTTAAAAGAAGATTATCGATTTTGAAAAATGTTCGTTGAATTTGAAAAAAAAACTCATCCAATCTGAACAAAGTTCATTGATTTTTAAAAAAAGTTAACCAAAATTTCAAAAAAGTTCATTGATTATGAAGAAAAGTTCATAGAATTTTAAAAAATATTCATCATTTTTTTGAAAATGTTCATCAAATTTGAAAAAGGTACGAAAATCTAAAAAAGTTCATGAATTAAACAAAATCTCCTATTTTTAGAAAATTTCATTGATTTTAAAAAATCATCGTTTTGAAAAAAGTTCATGAATTTTTATAAAACAATTGTTGATTTTGAGAAAACAAAATTGCAAAAATGAAAAACAAATCACGCATTTAGGAAAATAAAAACTGAACAAAACTGTTTCAAAAAAAGAGAGAGAAAAACAAGGCTTCACCTTCACGACTAGGAATGAATAAAAGAATGTAAAGAATTCAATAGGCACATGTACTGTCATGGCCTAGTGGTTGGGTGTTCAAATCCGTCGCATGCACACCGGTTTTTTTGCAGTGTATTAACCAAAAAAGCAAATGGACCAGCCCAAGCATGTAGGGGGTGTGCATGCGACGTTTACGAGGCCGGATTTGTCAAGTTCGGCATCAGATGCTCTTATTTTTTCTTTTGCGTGGAAAGGGATTCTATTGATTAAGGAATAAGGTTACAATCGGCGGTCACAACGCTAGCAATGTCCTCGGGGGTACTACGCAGCCAACATGCAGTGCGTTGTTGCGATCGTCCCCATGTAAGCGAGGCTATGACTAGCAACATTAACATCCCGCCTAACCTTAACAAGTTCTATCCTCCTTCCTCCAGAAATAAGATTTCTAATCTCATTCACACGATATGCATGTGGTGATCGATCCTTTCTTGGCGACGATAACATTGTTATGGCTTCAGCGCAGTCAGACTCGACAACAAAATCGAGATCCGTCCAGCTCAGAGCGAGATGAATTCCCTCTTGGATTGCGGCGAGCTCGGCTTCAAGCGCTCTAGTGCAGGATGGCAGCGCACGTATCGCAGCAAAAATAACAGCCCCTGAGTGGTCTCGGAGGATCATACCTACGCCCGCAGAACCATTCTCCGCCACATATGCCCCATCAACGTTGAGCTTGGCAGTGCCCGGTTCCGGAGGTCTCCACTTCTCTATATGCGGTATAGGCTCTTGATGGACATGATTGACACCGCCTAGCTCAATCACGCCTTTCCCCTTGATTTGGTCGTCATGAGGGTATTGTTGTAGTGCCAGGAGGGAGGTGATATAGCTGGACAAGAACCGCCTTGATTTTGCAATAGGGATAAACGGCTTCTGATGGGTCACCTCATTGTGTACATGCCAGGCTCGCCACATGATCATGAGGCATATGAGTCGCTGGGTATCTGATAATTTCTCAAGCAACCTGAACAACCAATCAGGGGCACCATCCTTGAGTTGGTCAGCTTTAGGAATGTCCCACTCCTCCTGCATGCATTCCAAAGGCCAACAGCATGTGGGCACCAAATCAGAGCACGATGGGCATCTTCCATAGCATTACCACATACTGTACAGATTACTGACTGAGAAATATGTAGACGACATTGGTACTCCTCCGTAGCAAGTGCTTCCAAGGCGATACGGACCTTCGGTGGAGCCGGGTTCTTCCAGATAAGGTCCCAAGCCGGCCGGCGCCCATCCGGCCTAGAGCTCGAGGATCCCATGTTCTGCATCATCGGCATCTCCTGGAGACCCAGACAATAAGCGCTTTTAACTGAAAAAATGCCACGTTTGTCCGGGTGCCAGGCTACAAACACTACTAGAAAACTTATCATTAACGACGGTGGCAAAGAACTCTTGGTCGTTGGAAATCTGAGCAGAACTCCACCGGGTGGAAATCAATTAGCCGATCTGTATTTAACAACCACCAGTTTACCCGTGGCTAACCAAGCCTTAGCTGCAGTTGTTTTCGATCTAATCTATCCCCTTAATCACTGCCGCAAACTGCTGGGATTGTGCGTCGGATAACCCTGTCTAACAGAAGAATAGGTTGTTATGATCCCTGTTTTCCTCTCGTCTTCTCCCCCTTGTTCCGATCTTGATCCCGATCCCGATCTATCTTCTTTCTACGCAGGTGGTGATGGTGGCGAGGAAGCTGACAACGGGAGACACGACGCCCGGCACCGAGCACTGCCACAGGCGGACAAGCAGTGG